TTATGCAAATTATCATGAAGCCACTCGATTGATCACATCATGAATCCAAAAAATTAGACAGTTATTCCTTAATTTAAGCGGATTTTTTGGTTATTGGAAGAAAAACAGCCTTGCTTATTGGGGAAATAAGAGACCGAAATTTAAAAAAAAAAAAAGATAAACAAACTGTTAGTTTGATTTTTTTGTGGACTATATAATAATATTTCAAATTTTTGTGTGAAGCTTTCCCAGAATTCATTTGCTATGATGATTCTGTATGTATGTCATAATGGAGAATGATAAACCGTTTATTGAAATTGATTTTTGCAGAGAGTTAAAATGACGCAAAGAATAAATGCATCTTAAAAAAGTGAAAAAAAAAATGTTTTGTTTAAAATCAATGCAATATTTATACTCCGTAATAGAAGTGCAACTGAAATAGGACTTCATGTTACGTCATAATCTTCCAGTTTACACCGAATTTTGTTCGGTTTGATGGAGCAGAGGGAAGTTAAGAGTGTATGCTATGTAGTAATAAAGTTGTGAAAAACATGTTATACAACTGCGCTCTCCAAAACGCAGCGCAGCAATTCCTTTACTCTGTAAATGTGTATACAACATATGAAACATATGGAACCATCTTCCAGGAATTTATAATTGTTCCATTTCCAAATGTTTATAAGTGTAAATGTATGCTATATGTGAGATAACTCTTGTTAGAAATTAGGAACTCTCTTGTAGAGAGAAGATAATTTTTTGTCATCAGCCAATGAGAATCAAGTATGCTAATTAGGATAGTATAAAAGCGCTGTCTTCTCAGTGCAGTAACACACAGTAACACTCAGTCAGTTGATCAGTCGAATAGAGAAGCTGCTGAAGTAAACTTAGGATAAGGTAAGACAGGGATAAGACGTGACTGAACAAGTCTTTCTTTCCCTATCTTACATTTAAGTTACACTTTTAATAATTAAAGTAAACTTAGTTATTCTTATAAATAGGTAAGCCAGCAGTTGAGACGCATTTGAGACTGTTAACTTTAATATAGAACTAAATTGAGACTTTAACTTTTACCCCGTCCCAAAGCTATTTGTGCATAATTTCTCTTTGTTAGGTTCTCAGGAGTCATCTGAGCTTTCCCACGAATCACTTTTAAAGCAAGTAGCTCAGTTTAAATTGAGGATAATATTTTTTTTTGGTAAATATTTTTTGATTATTTTGTAACATCAGCTCGGTTACATGCCACACTATATAAGTCCAAAGAAAAGCAAGTAGAATTGCACTCGCCCAAACAGAGAACAGTGACTCTGTCACTCCGTTAATATGCGTTGTTACAACGCAAAATGTAATAAACCAGGATTATTGCATTTTACGTTATTACATTTTGCGTCAATATCAACGCAGAATGTAATAACGCAAAATGTAAAAACAGACTTTTAGGATTATTACATTTTGCGTCGAGATCAACGCAAAATGTAATAACACGATTTTCGGATTATTGCATTTTGCAGTGTTACATTTTGCGTCGAGATTAAGCAAAACACAACAACGCAAAATGTAATAACACACTTTAAGTCAGTCAGGTGGAGAAAAATTTTCGATTGAGTAGTGGATGAAGAAAATAAATGGAAAAAATAAAACAAACGGAAAAATAAACATATATATGCTAATTCTTTTATTAGATCTGATTTCATCATATTTTGTTTTCATTAGCCATTTAAAGTCAGTTGATATCCAAATCATATGTACTGCAAATTAGAAACGTGCGTGCTCACGTATATGTGTGTGTATGTGTGTGTGTTGGGGAGGGGGGGGGGGTCATTGATTAGTGTATCACTTTGTTTTTGCTTTTTGATAGGCACATGCCTGAAATTAAATAAAGAAATCTATTTTTACTGGCAGGTGTAATTATAGCGGGAAAGGGGTTTCTTGACAATTAAGATTTCATACCGTTTAACAAATCATGTGCATTGCAGAGCAGCAAAAATAAAACTCTCTCTCTCTCTCTTCAACAATAAAATGGAGAGTTTCTGCATGTGCATAAAAATACAATGATCAACATACGAGTAACCCCTACCCCCGTTTCTCCTCGCTAAACACACACACATGCACTTCTAATTTGCTAACCAATGTACACATGCACGTCGTGCATGCATATCAAGAGTTTTAATGGACCCATGGTCAATCTTTGGTAATTAAGAATGTCAGTGATGGATATATAATACAGACTGATTTATAAATAGACATGTCAATCAAAGTTATGTTAATGTTTTATAAGTATTCAATAAAAATGTTCGAAACAGCGTTAAAAAAAAATAATCAATTACACTTAGTTATGTCCGTAGAGCCGTAATGCTAAACTTTGTCTCATGGTCATAGATATGTCTGTCTATTTAGTGAAGCGAGTTTCCCCATTGTTATATGTGATAATCAATTTTGTGGTGTTTCGCGTTGAACACAATACAGAAAAATAATAATATTTTGTTTTATTACATTTTGTTTTATTACATTTTGCGTTGTCTGAAACGCAAAATTTAAGTAACGCAAAATGTAAAACCAAAAAGTGCATTATTACATTTCGCGTTAATCCTAACGCAAAATGTAATAACGCAAAATATAAAAATCCAAAAATCGTGTTATTACATTTTGGTTATTACATTCTGCGTTGATCTTGATGCAAAATGTTATAACGCAAAATGTAATAATCTCAGTTTATTACACTTTGTGTTGTTATTACATTTCGCGTTGTAAAAATGCGTAAAACACATTAAACATGTAGGAGCATCTTTCAAGAGCTTAAATGTGTTACATTTCCAAATCTTTTTATCATCCAGCTATTGGTCTCTCTTTCAAGATACATACCACAAACACATTTTCTTATCTCTTATACAGAAGAGTTGTAAAGCTATTTTATTTAATATTTCTTTCCATAAAAATCTAACTAAGAACTTTTAATTGTGTAAAGATGTTTGTTTGTGTTAGTTATCCTTAAGTAGTCTATTACGTAAAAAAAAAAAAAAAAAACAACAGAAGAATACTGGATCAGGAGACTAGGCACTGCATTTGCGTATGGTTGCAACGACCGCATAAATGATGTAGGGAATCTTTCAAGTCCACATTGTTCCAATGTGAATTTGATTGGACATTTTAATAAAACACCTAGACGTAGGCGTAGTAATTTACATGGATCATACGATAGACCAAATACATGTATATGTGATGTCTCTTTGATTCACTTTTACCTTAATTATGTCAATAAACAATAAGGTCTTCATCACATTCACACAAAATTGAAGAAGCTAAAGCAATCCCATAATTGGATTCTACAACTCTAGAATAAATCTAGTCTTTGTGATTATGGCTGTTGTCCAGTACAGGCTCTTAAAGCTGTCACGTTTTTCGGATGATAACAATTCCAGTTTAACGCTTGGGTTCCTTTTACTTAACTTGAATTTTCTAACAACGAAATAAATGATTACTAACATTCTTAATCATAAACAAGTTCAGTCTTGCATTCTACTATATCTCAAGTTGAGGTCAACACTAAGGATGCGCGATTTATCGGTATACCGGTATATCGTGATTTTTTATGTGATGCGTATCGTGATATGATACCTAAAATACCGCTACATAATTACAGATGTACAAGAATTTACCCTTTTATCATGTTTATTTGTTCGAACTATTAAATAGAAATTACAGATAATATAAAAAAAATGAAAAAAGTACGGCATACGAAGATGCCTTATATTATACAAATAGAAATTAAAAAAAACGTAAAGTTATATATTTACAGTGTATTTGTAAGAAAAATTTAAAAATTCCTGTGATATTGTGGTAAAAATTCTGTGTAAAAGTATCCCGATTTTTTGGGATAAAATCGAGATATATCAAGATACTATTTTCTTTTCGATACCCATGCCTAGTCTACACCATGTAATTCCTACAGCTATTCCCACACTGTTGCTTTCAATTATTTCAACTTAAACAAACCCTGCATTACGAGATGTTGAGCATCTGAAACAAAATTTTCTTAAGTATTTTTGCTCTCTTTTTTCAACTATAGTCCCGCTAGACACGTTAATACTGGGTTATTAATATAGTTGAAAATGACGATCTAAAAGGAATCATTTTAAAAGGTCCTACATGTAAGTGCATTGGGACCGAATCTTTCAACTGACGGCTTATAGAACTTCATTTCTAATACGATTTCTTCGAAGATTATACGAGGCGTTGGGCGAGTAATGAAGGGTAGATCTAAACAGTTCGTCAAAATGGATTAAGGGTTTTAGAAATCTATTAAAGAATCGTGTTCAAAAGTTTAAAGGTAATTCACAACCATCTATCCTTCCGTTTTCACTAAATCAGAGATGATAAAAGAATAAGAAAGACTACATGAACAATGTGTTGAGGTTCCAACAGACAAGGCTTGTAACAATATCGCTGGCCTCATTTAAGACTAAGATATGTCGTAAGTTCGTCTTAAGAGATGTCTTAGTCCTACGATAGCTTCATAAACATGCCTACTGGTACATGCACAATCTGAATTTTGCCTATCACATAACCTCGCTTATATAAATATATTTTCTGGTAGATCTCAGGGTCCCCCAAAAATAACCTTTAAACATCACAATTGCGTGATTATTTTTTTTCATTCTAATATGTTTTTTCTCCTAAAAAAAATGTTTCTCCATTTTTGGTAGATATTGATACATATTTTTTTAAAATTTTGTTCGCATTTTCATAATTTAATCGATGAATTCAACGCAAAATATTTTAAAACATTAAAGAATAATGTAGGAAATATATTTAAATTGAAATATTTCTATAATTATCATAGGAGATTTTACTTGTGACTTAAGGTAGAGACCGATAGCAATCACGTGATTGATAGAATTCGCATATTAGCACGTGCTGTTTTTCTGGATTCCGCAACGCCGCCAAATAATAGTCCTCATTTACACATTATTGTCTATGCTACAAGATGGCCGACGAAGCAGTCGAGAAAATTTCCTCGTTTAAAAGACAAAGTTACCATACATATTTAATCTTGACGGTCCTCGAAATTGAAGCACCTTAATAAGAATCGAAATGAAAATGAGACTGAAACCGACCATGAACTTATTTTTTTGTGAAACTACTCCTTGTCGACTGCAGCACCACGTGGATGCCGGTATCGGTGTCTGATGTGGTTTTGAATATAGACATTAACTGATGAAAGGCCATGACCCTGCAGATGTTAATTGGTATGATGGAAGAAGTAAAAATTTTTGCAGAACAAATGTTTTGTTTGCAGTGTCCGTTTCAGATACATCAGGTGAATATTACGACTATGGTGCATGTTTGTTGTTAACGTACAGGCCTGGTACAATCACTAGATTTAGCTACGTAGCTTGAATTACCTACATAGGTTTATTTACCTAACTAAAGTAGTTTTATTTAGCTACATAGTCAAACTTATTTTATGACCAGACTCTTACTTCTTGAATGAAATAACAAGACCAGACATTTCTGGTGAACATGATAAAGGCCGGATTGGTAATTATTTAGCACAATGTGAAGTAATCATACTTTTCTGTGCCTAAACGCACACCAGGTTGTGTATAGTTACTCAAACAATAGAAATACACATTTTGCTTAAAGTTCAAATACAGAAATGTGTAAACTTTCTCTGCTTTGGGTCGCTTTTTAAATATTAATCCCTTGTATAAATAATAGTGGACATTTACTTGCAATTCTAGATCTTTTGTCTTTTTGAAATAAAAAAGCAAATTTGTAAAAAGTTGCATTGAAATAGCTAAGTAAAGCTACCCAAAGTAGCAAAATAAAGTTACAGTAACCGTCTGTAGGTAATTCTACCTATGCAGATGAATGTACTGATTGTACTGGACCTGTTTGATACTTAACATTGTATATTATTTAACATGTTTAAGTACATGTATTTTACATGTTAACTTATGAACCATATACATAGATGATAAATTACAGTTTAAATAAATGCAAGTTTATGTAATAATTATGCACATGTAATAAATTATGTATGTATTTGTTGTATGCTCAAAAGGGTCCTGATTATAAACAGATATTATAAATACTAAAAGAAATATTAAATACTACAGGTGAAGCAAAATATGGAGTAGGCTAAGGCAGTGTATTCAGCATTCTTGTGGAAATAATGTGGCCATTCAAATCAAGTGTCAGCTGGAAAGAGGAATATCAAGGGTGCTTTTTACATTAACTTCAAAGTAGCCATTGGTTTGTATTTAAAGCTTAATTTGTTTCCTCTCTTATTTTTTCCTTTCAATTTACACTTGTACATGTATCAGGGAAAATCCAGAAATTTTTCCAATGGGGGGGGGGGGGGTAAAAAAGAGGTGTTTTATAATATTATAAATTTATTAAATTTCAAAATTTTAGTCCTTATATTCTTAAGTTACACACCATAATGTACAAACTATTGTATACATGTAGAAGCATTTTCTCAAGTCAATAATTTTTCAAAGTTCATATACATATTTCAGGAAAATTCAAGACAGATCTGCTACAGTAACTGTACATAAAGTAGCATACATGTGTGACAGGAAAGGAGGAAAATGTATGGCTGGACCGAGATTCTAACCTGGGACCCCTGCATCACTAGTCAGGTGCACTATTGACTTAAATACATGTACCGGTAAATGCTTGTGTATAGACATACAAAAAAAAAAAAAAAAAAAAAAAAAACACACATTGTAAATTGAATTAAAAACTGAATACATGCAACCAAAAATTATAAAATGTAAAGATGTCTTCTAACTTGAATGAGATTGTTTCAACTATAACACCAAAGAATTGGTATGATAATCTGAAGAAGTCAGTACAATGTATTGTTAAAAAACTTATGAGACATGGTTTTTTAACAATACATGTACATACTGACTTCTTCTCATTATCATACCTAAATTTACAAAAAATTAAATTTACAAATTAAATCAGAATTGTTCATAAATTCTACAATATCTTTTAAATAGATCAAGCTATCTACTTTAATTTTTATTGTCTTATCTTCATGTTACAGATCTTATGGACATACATGGTCCTTTGCTATATAATCAAGTGTCATATGCAGTGTTACAAAAGAATATTGGAATAATGTCAATAAGGTAATTAGGACAAGACTGGATATAAAACCAAGGAATAAGAATGATGTAAAAAATGTATTTTAATTCCACATACAATAGTTACTGTACGTGTACATAAATTGGCGTATTTAAAATTTAGCGCAATTACTGGGTGTGGAATTTTTGGCAAAATCATGAATTCGAGCTATATATGTCCCTGCTGTATATTGTATTTATAAATGATTTCTTAGCAGTATTCTTGAATTAGCGCATCGTTTTTGTGCCAAAGCCGCTAAAATATGAAGCCCGCTTTTTTAAGTACACATACAGCATGTTGCTAGTTGCTGTATGTATTGTTTTACATTGAAGATGTTTCATTGACAGGTACATGTAGTGTTTTTTCCACAAAAACTTTATCCTTTGGCCTTAACTCTTAAACAATTATTGCTGGGTCTTTGTATTTCACATGTTTATTTCTTTTTTTAACCCCATGATCTTGGCCTTAGAGTGTGACTACATTGAGAAACTAGAATATGTAATCTTTACCTATATATACCAATTTTTTTTTTTATTTAGACACTTCATTAATCCAGTCAGAAATGTCTTATATTCATAATATAGACATAGTCATACCATGTTTGCAGTGTAAGAAAGAAGTAATACATGTATTTTAGTTCTTTAAATATTAAAATAATTTGTTCATTTCAGAAAAAGAACTACCAGAAGGATACAGTAAAGAGGAAACAGACATATCCCACCCATTAGATATGTGCTTCAAAATCTGAATATACAGAATGAATTCCACTCATTGCAGCTCCTTCTGAAAAGAATACCTTTGTTGTATTGACATAGAATCAACAGAATTGTCCGGTTCCTTGAACATGACACAACTGGATGCATATGATGGCAATTAAAGATTCATACAAGTGTACATTGATCTTCGTCAGCCAATAAGCCAAAAAACTATAGCTAGCAAACTAACAAGTTTATCTTACTTTTCCAAATGAATCTTAATGGTAATACATGTACATGTAGCATCAACATTCATCAAGCATTGTTATATTTCTTAGATTTTCTTAAATCAAATCATCTTTTTCTTGTTGCAGGTCATAATGTTGTATCAAATGACATTCCAATTTTCTTGAAATTACTTGAGGAGTTTGGACTTCAGGAAAAACTTACATATTATTGAATGTATTCACTTTATTTTGTTGAATTACATCCCGAGTTTAAAAGTTGTACACCATCATATACAGTTTATGGTGGGATTCCTCTAACTTTTATGAACCTGTGTGTAAAATCTATACTTTAAAGTTACAAATTATTACCTTAATAGATTATTTGTTCTTATGTAAATTATTACACTATTTTTGTATGTATGTAATGATAACCGAATCACTCTATTACCCCGCACTTTTTACCATGTGATGCTTTAGTGTATTAATATCTGACTACTGATGACCAGGCAGTCTTCATTAAACAGTGAAACACATAACTAATGCTTTTATTTGAATATCTTTAAAACAAGGATAACATACTGTGGATTAATTCTGTTTACAAAACTTCATAATCACTGGGTATTCTTATACATGTTATACATGTATTTGGAATGAAAAAGGAATTATTAAAGGAAAGTGAAATCAATACTAATTGTCAAAGGAAGATTAAAAGACCAGTTTATTTATGCACAGAATTGGTCAAAAGATATTGTCATTGATAATTCATCCAAGAATCATATGTATAATAAATCTATCAAAGTCAATTTTAACGATATAAAGGAAAGTTCATATCTGTTTGAATGTAAGTGCAAAAAGGTCAACCAGGGCAACATGTGTCTAGGATGTATAAATATTTGCTTTTGTGATATAAAATGTAATTTAGAAGAATATTACAAAGAATTAACTCATTTTCTGTGAAATATTTTTATGAATTCTTTGATAATCTCTCTTAGTCACCATATTCTTCTCTCTTAGTGCATCCTTTGTAAAGGAAGGGGGGTAGGGTAGGGTGTAAGATAATAAACTTGCGCCAGGTTGAAATTAAACCCCATTATGTAGTATGATTTTTTTCTGAAATTTAAGATACCTATTGACTAACTATAATATGCAATAAAAAAAGAAATTTGATGGGTAATTTTTTCACAGTGGAAGCAGAAGTGTGAGTCTTTGAGCAATGAATAGGCAATATTTTAACGTAATTTGACCATGCATCTTGGTGAATGTAATTCTGTTTTTCTTTTACAATGCTTGATAATTTTAAGATTGATGTCAAATATTATTTCATATAGACAGATGTTTGAATTCATATAAGACAAATGATAATTAATATATCAATAAAAATTTTATAGCCCTTTTCATATCTTCTTCTTATATTATTTTACCCTGCTTTTTCAGCTCTTCAGTGGGTGATGAAGGCTATATTAAAATTATCAAATTTCTCTTAAACTAGCCCGATGACCTACCTTGAATTTTTAATAAGATTAAGAACAAAGACTCAACACAAACATATATAAAATTCAGAAAATTTCAATGGTTAGTTTTTTTGTTGACAACCTGTCAATCTCTACCTTAATATATCTGAAAGTCACAAGTAAATAACTCATATGATACCTGTAATTATAAGGTGTAAACAAGAACGCATGTGTCGCCTGCTTTGTAGCTTTATTAGAGATGCAATTAAATCTAAGAGTGGTCAGGTATTTATTTACTACTAGCATTATAGTTCGTGCATTTGCAAGAAAAGAAAAAAAAGATCCACAGATGGTATACATGTAAGACTGCAGAAGAATCTGGCAATAAAAAAATGGTTCCCCAACCCTGAAATGAATAATAAATTGAAATTATAAGAAATAATTATTTATTATTTTATAATTTCGTGTTTCCAACAACACTCCAAAAGAGATTTCAGTCTGTCTTTATTGCAATTGTCAGTCTACATGACCCATTGTGAAATACTTATCCCGATGTATGTTGATAGAATTAATTGAATATCATACATTTTCAAAATATAATATTGTAAGCTCATAAACATGTGTGAATGCTAAATTTCAAAACCCTGCCACTCAAAACTCCAAAAACATATAATAAAATTAAACGATACAGGGTATTTTTTTTTTACAAAGTAGGTCAAAGGTCAAGGTTAATTGGATTGGAACGATACTATTTTATCAGAATGTTTTATGACAAACAGAGCACATGCTAGATATGGATAGACTTCCCTCTTAACAGTGAGCATCCGCTGTCGACCGGCCAAACCCGCTTTGTGAATTTTGTCATGATCGGGAAATAAATAAAAAAAAAAACGTCGACAATACAGTATGTAAATGATGGCCTAACAATTAGTATGAAAAACGTCAGTCAGAATTTTGACTTAATGATAGATTGTATTTGCTGACCAGGTCATTGTATCGACCATAGAAATTACGAAATGACGGCTTTATACGAGACTGCTGATATTCTTATATCAATAACTTACATTGTTTTAGAAATTGTTCATACTTAGCACATGCTCTTGAGTACCGAGTAAACTGAAAGATATAAGCCCCATATGCAGGTGATGAAGATACATTGCTGCATAAGTAAGGGAAATTGACGATTGAAATGTTAAAGTCATAAAGTTTATCATAAAGCGTGGTTGTTATATTACCATTAATGTCTTTTTCTTGTAAAATATCCAAATAAGAATCAGATGAGTCAGACGCTATGGTATGTTTTACTTCAATCTCACCGGAATATATTACTATGGTGGCATATTTCTGCCCCCTACATGCAAGATAAATTATGTTAACATGAGAGAAATGTATGTCAACATGCAAAATAATTATATTGACATGCAAGTTACCAATCTTTTTAGATAAAAGAAAATATTCAAAAACACTAGATGAATTGATTAGATACATGGGAATAAGAAATTTTTAAAGGTTGAATTAAATATTCTTTCTGGCTGCAGAAACTTGATTTGGATGTTTGTCAATTTTTTAACATCGTTACGTTACTCTACCTGTTACTGCGCTATGTCTTATTTTTTGTAAATCATTTATATTTGTTATCTAGTGAACATATCGGAAATCCCCAAAATTACATGTGTACAGAAAATATTAACTCTCATGATAATAATGATCATCAGCTGATTGACTCACAATCGTCACGCTTCACAGCATATATAATCACTGATCAACGACCGTCTTGTTTGTTTAGCACAGTCCGCTGTCTCTCATGAGGGGTGCATGCTACTTGTAATATAAACCCAATTAACTACTCAAGTCACTAAAAATTAGGTGTCAATACCGCTTAAAATGCAATAAAAATTTAACCATGGCGGCTGCCAATTTCTAACATGGAGCAGCTCGTTTAACCATGGCGCACATAAATAAAAACTCTTGTGGAGAACCTTGAGCTGACATAGATAAGTCGCATGTCTACATAATTATGTTGTATGTTAACATAATTTAATATCTTGCATGTAGGTGGCAGAAATATGGAACCATATATTACATCGATAAAAGAATGGAAATAACCATTGTTAATTGACAATGCGTC